AACTCTGTTCTTTCCATCTGCTGTTTTACTAAAGTATGTATTACTGGCTTCCCCCTCTCGATTGTCTTTCACTAGTTCCGTGAGGCTCTAGGGCAGCATCTCTTTAAGCAGTACCTCCTCCCCGTTTTCTTTCTTCCTTTGGGACTCTGATTATGTGCACATTAGACCTTTTCACCACGTCTCACATGATTCTTATACTCTTTTCTGTATGTTTTGTCCTTTTCCCTCCCAATTGCATAATTTTCATGTTTTCTCCTGATCTGTCTCTCAATTCCAATCCTCTATGCTATGTCTAATCAGAATTGGTTTTTTTTGAAAAAAATTTGTGATGAGAACTCTTAGGATTTACTCTGCCAACTTTCATATATAATACACAGCAGGGTTAATTATATTTATCAGGTTGTACATTACATCCCTAGTATTTATAACTAGAAGTTTGTAGTACTTCTTGACTGCCTTCATTCAATACCCACCTCCAATTTTCTAATTCTTAATTTCAGTTCTAGAATTTCATTTTGCTTTTTTTTTTTCAGTTCTCTGTGAAATCTTTTCACCTTTTTTCTTGAACATATTAATTATAAGTCTCGGATCACTTTTAGTGTCTGGATAAGCGCTAAGTGTATTTCTGTTCTTTATTCTTGGTTTTGGCTCTTTGGTCCTGTTTCTTGGTGTGCCTGGTCATTGAATACCAGGATGGAAAATTATAGAGGCCCTGAATGTTGTTTTTCTTTCCAGGGATTTGTGTTTCTTCAGGCAATTAGCCATAAGGACAGATCATGTTGGTCCAGTGAGGCGTTTGAGATATTTGGAGGCTGCATTTCAGACTCTGCTTGGCTGGTGTATTTCCTGGCTTCCCTGTAAGGCAGTGGTTCTCAAACATTTTGGTCTCAGGACCCCTTTACATTCTCGAACATGTAGGATCCCAAAGAACTTTTGTTCATGTGCATTATATTGATTGATACACCATCAATATCTATTGGTATTAAAAACTAAACCCAAGAAATTTGAAAATACACACTTACAGGTAATTTAAAGATAATAAACCCATTACATTTTAACATAAATATTTTAAAAAGAAAACTATTTTCCAAAACTTTTCAGCAAGAATAGCATCATTTTTAATTTGCAAATCTCTTGAATGTCTAGCTTAATAGAAGACAGTTGGATTCCTGTAATATCACCGGTGAATAAACAAACGAAAAGGGCAGAAAACATCTCATGTTACTGTGAGACTAATTTTGACCTTGAGGGTGTTCTGGAAAGGACCAGGTTTTGAGAACCGCTGCTTTAGGGCATAGTCTTCAGCGGTACCAGCGTCCCAGCACCAGTGTGCTGCTGAACCTTTCTTTAGCTTTTTAATCACATAGAAATGGCTTTCTGCTTGGTTTCCCTAACTCCCATCCCACATGCAGCTCAGGAACTGGCAAATGGCACGTGTAGAACGTCCGCCTTGTATTTCCACATCTCCCTTTTCTTTAGCATCTTGGCCCCTTGGTCCTAGCTGCCTTCCTGATAACCCTGAGCCCCCATTTTGCTTTCCCCACCCAGGGAAGCCGCTGAAAGGCCCCACCCCAGGAGCAAAGACACAGGCCAAAAAGCATCTCCCTCCAGGATCTTGGCCCCAGAGCTGTGGCTGCTGTGGTTGCTCTCCAGGGCTTTCAAACAACTGGGTTTTCCCCCTTTATTTCTATTCAGCTTGTGTAGTTTTTGGCAGGAGCGTTAGTCTGATGCAAAATCTCCATCATAGCTGGGAGTGGACGTCAGCACAGTGTTCTCTAAGTTGCTTTTTTTGTGAACTTGCTTAACAATTTATCTTGGAGATCTTTCCCCATCTGTTCATAAACATCCTCTTTTTTTTTTTCATATACAGTCTTTTATTGATGGACCATTGTTGGTTTAATTTGACGGTTTCCCATGTGTCACTACTATAGGCAATCTGTAATTACGTGTGTAAGTTTGTACGTGCACACATTTATCTGTAGGTTAAAACCCAGAAGTGGAACCGCCAAGTCTTCAATGCAGATGAGTGGTTGTCATTTTGAGAGCTGCCACCTAATTGCCTTTAGCTGAATGCCTAGAGGCCACGGCCAGACTGAGGAAGAGGGGCAGGGCTCTCCCCTTCCTTGCTGCCTCCCTGGCTGAAGCCAGCTCACAGCTGTGATCTCTCCCAGGACACATTTGACATCCGGATCCTGATGGCCAAGTCTGTCAAGTACACGGTGAACTTCTTAGAAGCCAAAGAAGGAGATTTGCACAGGTACCTGCACCCACGTCCTGTCCCCCTGAACCTGACTCCGCCAAGTGTGGGGCTGCAGCCGGTTCCCTCAGGCAGCGCCACAGGGAGGGCAGGCAGGGACCCAACACGCTACACCGGACACCCCTCTTCTGTCCTGGCAGCGCCTATTCAGCTCCCCTTGTAATCGCTGCCCTTTGCCTTCCAGGATAGAAATCCCATTCAAATTCCACATGCTGCATTCTGGGCTAGTTCACGGTCTGGCCTTCTGGTTTGACGTTGCTTTCATCGGCTCCATGTGAGTGCAGCAGGGCATGTAGCCCCTGCCCCAGGCCCCAAAGGTTGCCTGCGGGTGAGGCTCCTGGGCCTGGCTGGCTTAGATGACAAATTGGGGGCTGGGAGGGCAGGACACGACTCCTCCAGGCTCCACTGTCCCTTCCAAAAGGCAGTGGGAGCTGGCCTTCAAGCAGGAGACTCTTGGTGGGGGGTTATCTCCCGTGTTCTGAGTGACTATTCTTCATGGACCTGATCTGTGTCTCTTAGCATGTATGTCAGGGTGAGTGGGTGCCCATGGCTGTGGTGCTGCGTGTGTGTGTGTCTGTGTGTGTGGGGTGCATTCAGGTGTGTGCCTGAGACTTCCCGGGCAGCCAGCCTGTCTTGGCTCCAGAGCCCCAGGGGTCCGCCGGGGGGAAGGGGGCAGATGCCTGGGGAGAGCTCAAGGTGCACATGCTGGGGGCCCCAGCCCAGTCAAGTGGACGCCTGTCCCTGCTTGGCAGAATGACCGTGTGGCTGTCCACGGCCCCGACGGAGCCCCTGACCCACTGGTACCAGGTCCGGTGCCTGTTCCAGTCACCGCTGTTCGCCAAGGCCGGGGACACGCTCTCAGGGACATGTCTGCTTATTGCCAACAAAAGGTGTGAGCTGCCACCCGGGGCTGGGGGAGGCAGGGGTCTGTCCATCCCTGCAGCCAGCTCAGGGCAGCCGCTCCCTGCCTTCTCTGCAGACAGAGCTACGACATCAGTATTGTGGCCCAGGTAGACCAGACGGGCTCCAAATCCAGTAACCTCCTGGACCTAAAAAACCCTTTCTTCAGGTAGGATGGGCCCGGGGCCTGTGCAGGGGCACGATCCTGGCCCACAGCCCTGCCCACAGGTCTGTCTCTGCTGCAGATACACAGGCACGACGCCCTCGCCCCCGCCCGGCTCCCACTACACGTCCCCCTCGGAGAACATGTGGAACACCGGCAGCACGTACAACCTCAGCAGCGGGATGGCCGTGGCTGGTGAGCTGGCCCCACGCGGGCGGGGCGGGTGGCGGGGCCACCTCCTGGTCACCCCTGCCAGTGCTCCCTGGGCAAACGCTGGTGGCCCAGGCCCCTCCAACCCCTGCACAGGACACTGTCCCCTGCCCCTGACATCTCCCTCCCTGGCACAGGGATGCCGACCGCCTACGACCTGAGCAGTGTTATCGCTGGTGGCTCCAGCGTGGGCCACAACAACCTGATCCCTTTAGGTGAGTGCAGGTGGGCGGCGCGGTGGGGCTCAGTCCTTCTCCAGCACCACCTCTTCCTCTTCCCGGGGCTGAGGACCTCCGTTCCCTTTCTCTCTGCCTCGCTCTGCCGTCGCCGCCGCACCCTCCTCCCCACGCCTGGGTCTGAGCGCCCACCACGCCGGGCACGCGGCCGGGCAGGCTGGGGGCGGTGACGCCGTCTCCCTTCCTTCCTTCCTCCCTCTTGCTGCGCAGCCAACACGGGGATTGTCAATCACACCCACTCTCGGATGGGCTCCATAATGAGCACGGGGATTGTCCAAGGTAACGGCGGGCGCAGGGAGCAGGGTCCCAGGGTGTGCGCCGCCGCGCTCTCTCTCTCTGACTCTGCCTGGGTCTGGGCGGGCGAGGGCAGAGCCGGCCCCTCAGTGCCCGCGCCTTGCCCCACAGGGTCCTCTGGCGCTCAGGGCAGCAGCGGCGGCAGCTCCAGTGCCCACTACGCGGTCAACAGCCAGTTCACCATGGGCGGCCCCGCCATCTCGATGGCCTCGCCCATGTCCATCCCGACCAACACCATGCACTACGGGA